TTTGAATGCGTCCTCGCGATCCTGGGAAGGAGCAGCCGAGGGATTCACTTTATGGAGCCGTGTGGCAACACAGACGGTGGTGTGGGTGGGTGGGGGGTGATACGTTGTGGTGGCCTGTGATGGTGTGACTCGACCGATAGCGAGACAAATGCGCGTATACATCCACAGCTCATGAGCACGCGTGTGGATATAACGGCATCCTCTCGATGACACAAATGCACACGTTTGCTCATTGACAATAGGTACATTTCAAAATATCAATGTTCTGGTCAAAAAAGCAAGGTTTGCGGAGAATAATATAATTTTCCTGTACTTTCGAGGCATAAGCAATTAGGAAATAATACTTACTGCCCAGGAACAAAAACGAAACGAAATTTGTTACACAGTATTATTAATGGAGTGGGTTATTAACTTTGCTTTTGTGTCCTGGTCACGAAAGCAAAGTTTGTGGGAAATAATAGCCACTTTCTGTACCTTTTGAGGCATAAGCAATTAGGAAATATCACTACCCATGACACGAAAAATATACACGCGCACAAAAGGCATATGTGGTAAGTGCTGTAAATTGTTCTCACGGTCGATTCATTAACACCGTCCGACAGACGCGGCACTCCGGCGGCGAAACTGTTCGCCGCGGAGATGAGAATCTTAGCAGCGCTCATACCTGAAAACATCACCGCATGTGTCCAGAAAACAGACCTCATTCGGTAAGTTGTGTACAGCCAAAACACGCGTTCGATAAAGCCACGTTGGGTAAGGTTTTCATGTATGGTATATGTAATCAGTGAAGTTTTGGGCAATGGTCCTTACTCGTAATATGTGCTATGCAAACGCCAAGTTTTCATATTTTATGCGAAATGACCCGAAACGTCACTAGGCAGCGTCGTTCACGAGAGTAGAGTTTTTTTTTCATGAGAATCTATATCAGTCAGTCAATTGATACACCACTCGGCCACTCATCAACACGATTTGAGAGTACGAACGCGATGCCATGGTGTAAAGTGTGGTCAAAGCATTTCATTATTTTTCATATCCGTTGTCATTTTTACACGGATCATATTCACTCGAGGATTCTGCTCCTGAATAAATCCAACGAGATGCAGACATATCCTCACGCCTTCATTTGCCTATTAAGACCAAACGTATTTGCTCCATTTGTAATAAGAGAGCGCCATCTACTGAATTATTGTGGGGGTTACATTACTTTTCATACATTCCACGGTTTATCCACAGTAGGGATTATATCTGGGGTAAAGGTGATTGGGCGGATCTACCAGGGAAGCCTCTGGAACGTTCCCGAAGGTTCCAGGAGGGGGCGTGGCCAGAGGCTGGGCTTAGCCTCCGGGAGGTAAATATAAGCCGGGGGTACAGCAACATTTGGGGTCGGTTGTTTGAAGATCTAAGAGGAGCTCCCCGTTGCTGCTGCCCCGCCATCTCCACCTGCCACGTGGCGCAGGGCAGCACATCCATGAGAGCGGGTCGACATTCGCGGAGAGAGAGAGAGAGAGAGGTGGCTGTACCGAAGATTTATAAAGAAACCACTTGGAGTTACTCACCGTGTCGGAGCCACTCATTACACATCTAAAGACAATTACACTGGACTAAATACGAACGTAACTTCATCGTTGAATTTTTTTTGGAGCGTGAATCGGCGACTACGCCGCAAACGTCACTGTTATCATTGTAGCGAGCAAAAAAATAATAATCTCTCCATCAGTAAAGATTGAGTTACACGTGTGTATGTATTATCACATTTCATCACGCCACTTGGATTATCCGGGAAATCAACACAACGGCCCTATTAGGTATGACGGCCGCAGGGCAATGTGGCAGGTAGCGTGCCCGCCATGCTTTATCTATTAATTATAGACATGCTTCATGGTTTCAAGCGCATTGACTATGGTGCCGGTCACTTTTCTTCCTCGTTTGCATCTTCATTCGCGATTTTCAGAACGAGCCTCCGGGAGAACGACGGGCACATCCTCTACGCCAACCTCCTCCTTTGAGACAACTGCTTCCTCATGAACTTCTACGTCGTCGCCTTGTTGATCTCGACGAAAAGTGCCCATCCCGATCGTGCCTTGCTACATGCACGTGATTATCTCCTGCGTCCTGAAGTACGCAGGCCTCCTGTGCATCATGCTCATGTCCCTGGAGCGCTACGTCGCAGTGAACCACCCACTGCACCACCACCAAGCCTAGCTCAACGGCCGCTTAATCGTCATCTCGCTCATCGTCGCGTGGACGGGCTTATCGTGGGTCCTGCTCACGTGTGGCCTGCTCGTGTTCGCGACCGCCGGCGACGGGGTGCCGCTACTCGAGAACAAGACCACGTGCGATGGTGATGCTCGATGATATCGCGAGCGGCGACATTTGTATGATGAGCGCCGTAACGATCGTGATCACCTATGCGCAGATTGTAAAGGTGGCTAGGAAACGCGTCTGGAGATGCATCCGGGGCCCAGAAAGGCTCTGAGCACCATGGCGCTGTACGCTCTACGAGCGACTTCTGTATCTCTGCTCGTTGGCGAACGACGTGCTTTTATTGGCAGTGGGCACGTTAATAACTGGCAAGACTTTGTTGGCAATTGTAAGATTTGTGGTCAACATTACAGGCTTTGTGTTGTCCAGGTTCATTGCTCCCTTTCTTTATGGGTTCGCGACAAAGAAATCCGGCGGCACCTCAAACGGACTATGATGATTTTGTGAGCCAACAAAGGTGATGAGTGAATCCAGGTCGTCACGTTCATAGGAAAACCATTCAATCCTTGTATGATGGGAATGAGCCCATGATCATAACAAAACAAAACAGCAATTAGTATACGCTGGGAAAAGCAATCAGTTTAACAAAAACACACCAGATATGTGCAACCCCTCCCCACCCCTCCCCCTCCCCCCCCACAAAAACCAATTAAGAAATGCCCTTAAAAGCTAATGCTTCATGATAGCTGTGGTGAGCACTGCTCCTTCAACGTTGAAGCCACCTTCAACGTGGGGGGCATCTTCAAAGTGGGAGGCATCTTCAACAATGGAGCATCAGAGTATTGAGGGCTCGGGGCCTCCAACATGATGCCTTGAATAAAGGTGTCAGTTTTTGTGCCAGTTAAAAGGGTAAAAACCTATAACTATATCTTGTTACTGGCAAAGGAGGTCTCATAATGTAAATGCTCACCCCGAGCCCTCAATACTCTGATAGTGCACTGTTTTTGAGTTGTACGCCTTTTGGCGTCTTCTGGTCCAACACCAGTGGAGACTTAAGGGCTCTAAGTAAAAGCTGTCTTGGGTGTGGACCAATCAAATTCAAGGAGAGTGCCAATATCATTATCAGAGTTGTCTTTTTTGTTTGCATTTTGACTGCTTGTGTTGTGGTTATTGCAAACATGACACCTTGAATAAAGGTGTCAGTTTTTGTGCCAGTTAAAAGGTTAAACCTATTCCTATAATGGAGCCATCTTCAACGTTGGATCCATCATCAATGTGATGAGGGGGAGGGGTGGTGGGAAGGCGTCCAGGAGGAGAGGGTGCTTCGATATCCACGATTCCACAGATGGATGTGGAGGTTTCCTCCCGGTAGATTCCACTTTCGGTAGCTTCACTCGCTATCTCCTGGTATCCTCCCAATTAAAAAAAAAAATATGTTGCGACCACCTTCACCATTTGGTCCAAATCCCTCACTCCTTTTTTTCTTCGGCAACTCCCGATTTAACCTTCCGTCTCTCTCCGTAGTCTCCGGGGAGGTCTGGCGGGGGGCGGGGGGGGGGGGGGGGGGGGGGGGGCGGAGCACGATAGTGCTTTGGGCTTGGATGTCTTTCTCTTGCGGTTCCCGGTCGATGATGGTCAGGGCATCACAGAGTAGTTGAGCACCTTCTGTGGTTCTTTCGCTAAAGTTGCCTCCGCCGCGTAGAATGAGAATAAAATAATAAATTGATAAAATAAAATAACGCGATAAAATTCTCACGACGTTTCGGCCACAACACAAGCGGCCGTCCTCAGGTGAAGAAACAGGACAGTCCAGAAGGACTGTCCAGAAGACAGTCCTGTTTCTTCACCTGAAGAAGGCTACTTGTGTTGTGGCCGAAACGTCGTGAGAATTTTATTGTGTTATTTTATTATTTTACTTTCATTCTACGTGGTGGTGACTTTACCGAAAAAACCAAAGAAGATTAATCCTTGCAGTCACGAAATCTTCAAATCGATTTAAAGATTTAAAGATTAATCCTTGCAGTCACGAAAAAGCTTTAAATCGATTTAAAGCTTTCGTGACTGCAAGGATTCGTCTTCTGTGGTTCTTTCGGTAAAGTCACCACGTAGAATGAGAATAAAATAATAATTTAATAAAATAAAATAACAATAAAATTCTCACGACGTTTCGGCCACAACACAAGCGGCCCTTCATCAGGCAAAGGGACGAGACTGTCTGGTAGGACAGCGCTGTCCTCCAGACGTCGTGAGAATTTTATTGTGTTTTTTTTTATTTTATCAATTTATTATTTTGTTCTCATTCTACGTGGCGGTGACTTTACCGAAAGAACCAAAGAAGACGAATCATCCTTGCAGTCACGAAAGCTTCAAAGCGAAATTTAGACGAGCACCCTCGACCGCTGCCTCTCACCCTTGTCAGATACGGGTCGCTTGGGTCGTGTTACGTCGCACGGTGGCTGTCTCCTCTGCCTCTGCTTGTAACTCGCGATCCTCCTCTCGCTCCCACCTGTCCCCGACTCCCGTCGTCCCTTGGTGGGGGTCCGCTATCTGCCTCAAGGGTTCGTCTTCAACTCAGTCTCAGGTCCCCCTGGTTTCAGCGCCGTTCTCCCCTTTGTGTGATGCGTTGCGCCTCGTCGATAGCTTCTCGATTTGCTTCGCCCGTGCATTCAGTGTTCCCGTGTTGTTTGGTTACGCCGGTTTCTTATTCTTCTTCTTCTTGGGTGTGTTCTAAGTGGAGGGAATGCATGTCGCTGTACACTGAGTGTCGCCAGTGCATTGACCGAATTCCAGTCATCAACTCCGTTTTCGGATACTTTTATTTTCACACGAGTGTATCTCGTCGTCATTTGCAACCGTATTACGAATCCCCCCCCCCCCAAAAAAAAAAGACATCCATTTAAATGTTGTATGTACTTACTGTATAGTGACGGTCTTTCGCACTTTTCCTATCCAACTGTGCCAATCGGAGACGTGGAAATATGTTGTTAAATTAAATATTTACCCATGCTCTGGTCTTGCCTCCGCTGTCTCACATATTCTTCCATTTCACTCTCTCCGCACCGCGTTCCTCGAAAGCACAGCCTTTCCCAAGGTCACCCCTTGCATGCGATTCCCCACATTCCCGCTTAGCCACGGCGTTCCTCGAAAGCACAGCTATGCCCATCATCACCCTCTGCTACTGTGATTCCCCACATTCCCACTCAGACACAGCGTTCCTCGAAAGCACAGCCATTCCCATGGTCACCCTCCTCCACTGTGATTCCCCACGTTCCCACTCAGCCACGGCCTTCCTCAAAAGCACAGCGATTCCCACGGTCACCCCTTCCCTGTGATTACCCACGTTCCCACTCTGCTACAGCATTCCTCAAAAGCACAGCCATTCCCATGGTCACCCTCCTCCGCTGTGATTCCCCCACTCCGGCTCAGCCGCCGCGTTCTTCTGATTGAGCGACAGCTCTCTCTACGTACGCATGTAGTTCTACGTATGTTTAACTTCTTTCGCACCATACTGTAGCCAATCGCGCTCGTCGGAAGGTGCGGGAAAAATCTCCGCCCTGGTGTTAGTCACCACATTTAGTGATGAACGAACGAGGGGGAACGGCTTACTTTACATTATGAAGAGGAGCTGTCCTTCACGTGTCTCTCCTCCGCATGCCACTTAAAGGCGAGGGCCTCCGGCTTCCCAAACGACTTTTCTAAAATTGGATTTCGCATAGCAGTAGTGTACAAGTTAAGTACGTAATTATTTAGATTGTGAATCGGAAGTTTTATAGATTTCCGCCGTGTGTACTCTTTTCCTAGTCGGGAAACAAGAGAAAACCTGTAAAAGTGCTGTCGCGATAACCGGGTTGGAAATAGAGACCAATGTAAGGGCTTTGCGATTGAACCCACACCTCATCTCCCTCCTTTAGCTTCAGCACTGAACCCCCGCTCATGGCCATGGAATGAATAGCAGCATGAAAGTCAATGCAACTATTGGAGATCTTGCTCCCATTCTTCATGATGGACAGACATATGGTGGTTTCGCGAACGTGTGCGTGTATCACAAAGTAGTAGGTGCCGGGATGAACGCATGTGAACTTTCCAGTTAAGGGATTGTAGTGGTTTTGCTCGTTCGAGATGACGATGTCGTACTTAATGGGGGAACCTGCTGGAGGCTTCGAGGAGGAAATCTTGGCAGTGAAGGCTGACTTTGGCAGCGTGGAAAAGTCTATGTTGTCTGTCTTCGGCCCGGGAAGTCCTGGAGGTCCGATTGGCCCGGCCTTTCCGGGAAATCCTTAAATAAGTAAATAAATAACACAAAATGCTTTGTTATTATACTTCCTGTGTAACTATGTAAACATATACATAGTGATGTACTTTAAATATCAACAGTTATATTTTGCCAGTTAAGGCCCACTGAGCTATAAAGCCTAGTTTTTATAAGCAACCTGGCTTATACAAGTGATAGCTCAACGAAGTGGCTTATCATCCAGTAGAAATGTATAACGGCCAACATGGAGAACACGCAGACTCCAAATATACAGCAGCAGGCGTCAGAGTTTGGACCTGAACCGACGACCTCCTGTACACCAGGCGAGGTAGTTAACATCTTCTAGCCACGTGGCTAGGAGATTTTCCGTTTGTTGTCCCAGAGGTTCGCGGTTGGAGCCCCACGGCTGCCCTGGTCAATACTGCGGGAGTATCGAGCTACTTCACAGGTGGACGTTAAAGATCACGCGACGTTTTAAAAAAGAAAAGTGGTAGGCTGTGCGTCTTACGTTATATATCGTGTCTATATTCATATAGCAGTACTATATTTCAAGGTGCTTTACAAAAACAATTATACAAATTGCAGATAAAAATAGTGATGGTGCAGTTGTGGTGACAGGATAACAGGCGGGAGAGGTAACAGGCGGGTTTGTGGTAGTGATAGAGTTGGGGTAGTGATAGGGGTTGGGGTAGTGGTAGTGATAGGGGTAGTGATAGGGGTTGGGGTAGTGATAGGGGTTGGGGTAGTGATAGGAGTTGGAGTAGTGATAGCGGTTAGGGTAGTGATAGGGGTTGGGGTAGTGATAGGGGTTGGGGTAGTGGTAGTGATAGGGGGTAGTGATAGGGGTAGTGGTAGTGATAGGGGTAGTGATAGGGGTTGGGGTAGTGATAGGGGTTAGGGTAGTGATAGGGGTTGGGGTAGTGGTAGTGATAGGGGTAGTGATAGGGGTTGGGGTAGTGGTAGTGATAGGGGTAGTGATAGGGGTTGGGGTAGTGGTAGTGATAGAGGTAGTGATAGGGGTTGGGGTAGTGGTAGTGATAGGGGTAGTGATAGGGGTTGGGGTAGTAATAGGGGTTGGGGTAGTGATAGGAGTTGGGGTAGTGATAGGAGTTGGGGTAGTGATAGGGGTTGGGGTAGTGATAGGAGTTGGAGTAGTGATAGCGGTTAGGGTAGTGATAGGGGTTGGAGTAGTGATAGGGGTTGGGGTAGTGGTAGTGATAGGGGTAGTGATAGGGGTAGTGATAGGGGTAGTGATAGGGGTTGGGGTAGTGATAGGGGTTGGGGTAGTGATAGGGGTTGGGGTAGTGATAGGGGTTGGGGTAGTGGTAGTGATAGGGGTAGTGATAGGGGTTGGGGTAGTGGTAGCGATAGGGGTAGTGATAGGGGTTGGGGTAGTAATAGGGGTTGGGGTAGTGATAGGAGTTGGGGTAGTGATAGGAGTTGGGGTAGTGATAGGAGTTGGGGTAGTGATAGGGATTGGGGTAGTGATAGGGGTTGGGGTAGTGATAGGGGTTGGGGTAGTGATAGGGGTTGGGGTAGTGGTAGTGATAGGGGTAGTGATAGGGGCTGGGGTAGTAATAGAGGTTGGGGTAGTGATAGGGGTTGGGGTAGTGATAGCGGTTAGGGTAGTGATAGGGGTTGGGGGTAGTGATAGGGGTTGGGGTAGTGATAGGGGTTGGGGTAGTGGTAGTGATAGGGGTAGTGATAGGGGTTGGGTAGTGATAGGGGTTGGGGTAGTGGTAGTGATAGGGGTAGTGATAGGGGTTGGGGTAGTAATAGGGGTTGGGGTAGTGATAGGAGTTGGAGTAGTGATAGCGGTTAGGGTAGTGATAGGGGTTGGGGTAGTGATAGGGGTTGGGGTGGTGATAGTGGTTGGGGTAGTGGTAGGGGTAGTGATAGGGGTTGGGTAGTGATAGGGGTAGTGATAGGGGTTGGGGTAGTGATAAGGATAGTGAGAGGGGTAGTGATAGGGGTTGGGTGGTGATAGAGGTTGGGGTAGTGGTAGTGATAGGGGTTGGGGTAGTGATAAGGATAGTGAGAGGGGTAATAATAGGGGTTGGGGTCGTATTGATAGGGGTAGTCATAGGGGTTTAGGGGAAGGAGTGGAAGCTGCAGCCTGTAGTTGTTGTTTTTGCTGTAGTGAAGATGGTTGCTCTGTGTACTCTAAGGGGAGTTGGTTCCATAGGAAGGGAGTGAGAAGGTAGCAGGATGGAGAGAGCGAGACTGGGCAACGCAGGGTGGCGAGGGAGGCACAGAGCGGGATGGTGTGGGTATCACTGTCAAATACATCCCAACATTTAAAAAAGATAAGTAATATTTTTTTTAAAAAAACTTTTTTTTAAACACGCTTTTATAAAATGTACCGTACAAGTAATGGCAGAACTCCACGACTCTAGGAAGTGGCCCGAAGCTTGGCCACAACGTAAGGGGGACCGTGGCCAATTACAGCCAACGTCAGTTGAGCGTGGACAATTAGACCCACGCCGAAACATAACATATAAAAAAAATATAATGTTTAAAAATATATATTTTTTTATGATAGAATATAGTATTGTCATCAGTATGACATAAGTATACCAAGTTTTTTTTTTCTTCTAGATTTGAAGCTTTTGTGACCGCAATGATTCATACTCTTTGTTTTTTTCGGTAAAGTCACGTAGGTAAAAAAAAAATCTATAAAATGAAATAAATGAAAACAACTAAATTAAATCACGACGTTTCGGAGGCAACACAAGCTTCCGTCTTCAGGTGGAAACTGTCACAAAATTGCTGTGACGGTTTGCAGTCGATACCACATTGGGAAGTGATCCCTTTCCAGTTGACGCTCAAGTCTATAATTTCACCAAAAATATAAAACGTCACTGGTTAAGCGTTTACCTGGTTCGCCTCGGCTTCCTACAGCACCAGGATCACCTTTTGGTCCAGACAAACCTGCAAATCCCACAACACAAATTCATATTTTTGTTCCAGTGTCTAATGTCAATGTTATAATATTACAATTGAACCTTATGGCGGGACCCCAGGGTCCGAAATAAGAGAGAAATAAAAATCGTAATTGATTTATTTATTTTGGCGACTCTGTTGTCACGTCGTCCAAGCGCAGCGAGCACAAATGCGCAGAAGAGCTGAACAAGCGAAACTTTGATTAGCGCATCGTGTAGAGCTCATGCTAGATTTGAAGCGTTCGTGACTGCAGGAATTCCTCTTTGGTTCTATTGGTAAAGTCACGTAGAAAATAAAATCAAATCAAATAATAATAATAGAATACGACGTTTCGGTTGCAACACAGGGAGCCATCATCAGGTAGTAATAATTATTTCTCAAACTTTCGATTTTCTTGCTCTAAACCATTTTCTTGCTCTAAGAATGCTTTTTCAAACTTTCGATTTTCCTGCTCTAGACCATTGTCTCTCCTCCGGCCACTATGGTCCGGAATTCCACACTGCTCCCTCCTCGTCCCCTCGGTGGCCGCCTCCCCCAGGCCTCTCTCTGCCCCGGCCCCTCCGCCACCCTCTCTATTTAAGGCCTCGGCACAGCCCCGATGTCCTTCTGTTTGTCTTGGTGCGCGTCTCTCGCTCGGGGTGTCTCTGCATGTGCGCGCTGCCTCGGTTGTTTCCGTGTCTGTGCGACGACGGATTGCTCGCTGTACACCCCCTTACCGTCTCTTCCATCCCTGCCCATGGGACCAGGCTGCCCGGGATTTCCTGGAATCCCCGGCACCCCATTCTGCCCCGAGCAACAGCCTTGAACTGTGGGGGACTGCAGCTCTGCCAGCGCGCTGAGAAGAGTCGCCGCAAGTAGCGACCACAGGAAGTGCATCCTTGTCCTGCGGCAGTGAGATGCGGTAAAGCGAGACGTGGGCCAGAGTCAGTTGTGCCAGCCCAATAATCCCCGAAAGCGCATCGACTTATTCACCTGCAACTGCCGTGTCCAAAATCACGGCAAGCAGATCCTTAAGAGGGAGGACGCTGAGCCGTGCGGGATGTGGGGGTGTGGTTCGGACATCATGCCACTCCCCCTATTGTACCATTGCCACCGCCCACCCCCCATTGTCTGGTTGGCTCCGCACTTGCCACAGCCACCGGACGTCGAGAGGACCGCAAATGTGCGACGAATCGCATTTCTCAAAGGTGCACGTGGTTGCGGGCGTGGATAGAGAAATGGCCAAAGCGGTTCGGGGCTTGTGTTTACAACAACAACAATAACAACAACAAAACATGCAAATTTTGTTTGGGTCTTTCGGTAAAGTCACGTAGATCGAAAAGATGATAACAATAAAATAGTAATAAAATTAAAATAAAGTGAATATTATTATTTTTTTATTATTATAAACTTTGAAAATAAAGTGAATATTATTTTTTGTTCACTTTATTTTCATTATTTTATTTTCATTATTTTTTTTTCTATCTTCCGTGACCTTTACCCGAAAAGACCAAAAGAATATGAATCCCTGCAGTCACGAGCGCTTTGAGTCAAAGCATGCAAAGTTAGGCGAGCTTAGTACGCGTCCTGCCGCCGGATGCCGAGCCTATGCCACACGTGCACCCCGTTTTCAAACTTACCGGCCAAGCGGAGTTGGCGTGGTGTTCATCTCCCGCCATCGCCTTGCCCGCCAACTGACCAAGTTGCATTGTAGTGTATTGTTTATACTGGTAGGAAGGAAGTTGTGAACTGAGCGTACCAGCCTGCAATAGATTAATGTGTCCGTCCGTCCGTCCCCTTTCAATACTTTAACGAAGTGAAATCTCGTGTGACTGTCATTCTTTATTTAACCGCGTGAGTGACGTCATTGAGAGTCACTCTCTTGTCACCGGCATCCTTTATTTAACCGCGTGAGTGACGTCATTGAGAGTCACTCTCTTGTCACTGACATCCTTTATTTAACCGCGTGAGTGACGTCATTGAGAGTCACTCTCTTGTTACTGACATCCTTTATTTAACCACGTGAGTGACGTCATTGAGAGTCACTCTCTTGTCACCGACATCCTTTATTTAACCACGTGAGTGACGTCATTGAGAGTCACTCTCTTGTCACCGACATCCTTTATACTGGTAGGAAGGAAGTTGTGAACTGAGCGTACCAGCCTGCAATAGATTAATGTGTCTGTCCGTCCGTCCCCTTTCAATACTTTAACGAAGTGAAATCTCGTGTGACTGTCATCCTTTATTTAACCACGTGAGTGACGTCTTTGAGAGTCACTCTCTTGTCACTGACATTCTTTATTTAACCACGTGAGTGACGTCATTGAGAGTCACTCTCTTGTGACTGTCATCCTTTATTTAACCGCGTGAGTGACGTCATTGAGAGTCGCTCTCTTGTCACCGACATCCTTTATTTAACCGCGTGAGTGACGTCATTGAGAGTCACTCTCTTGTCACCGACATCCTTTATTTAACCACGTGCGTGACGTCATTGAGAGTCACTCTCTTGTCACTGACATCCTTTATTTAACCACGTGAGTGACGTCATTGAGAGTCACTCTCTTGTCACTGGCATCCTTTATTTAACCACGTGAGTGACGTCATTGAGAGTCACTCTCTTGTCACTGTCATCCTTTATTTAACCACGTGAGTGACGTCATTGAGAGTCACTCTCTTGTCACTGACATCCTTTATACTGGTAGGAAGGAAGTTGTGAACTGAGCGTACCAGCCTGCAATAGATTAATGTGTCCGTCCGTCCGTCCCCTTTCAATACTTTAACGAAGTGAAATCTCGTGTGACTGTCATTCTTTATTTAACCGCGTGAGTGACGTCATTGAGAGTCACTCTCTTGTCACCGGCATCCTTTATTTAACCGCGTGAGTGACGTCATTGAGAGTCACTCTCTTGTCACTGACATCCTTTATTTAACCGCGTGAGTGACGTCATTGAGAGTCACTCTCTTGTTACTGACATCCTTTATTTAACCACGTGAGTGACGTCATTGAGAGTCACTCTCTTGTCACCGACATCCTTTATTTAACCACGTGAGTGACGTCATTGAGAGTCACTCTCTTGTCACCGACATCCTTTATACTGGTAGGAAGGAAGTTGTGAACTGAGTGTACCAGCCTGCAATAGATTAATGTGTCTGTCCGTCCGTCCCCTTTCAATACTTTAACGAAGTGAAATCTCGTGTGACTGTCATCCTTTATTTAACCACGTGAGTGACGTCTTTGAGAGTCACTCTCTTGTCACTGACATTCTTTATTTAACCACGTGAGTGACGTCATTGAGAGTCACTCTCTTGTGACTGTCATCCTTTATTTAAACCGCGTGAGTGACGTCATTGAGAGTCGCTCTCTTGTCACCGACATCCTTTATTTAACCGCGTGAGTGACGTCATTGAGAGTCACTCTCTTGTCACCGACATCCTTTATTTAACCACGTGCGTGACGTCATTGAGAGTCACTCTCTTGTCACTGACATCCTTTATTTAACCACGTGAGTGACGTCATTGAGAGTCACTCTCTTGTCACTGGCATCCTTTATTTAACCACGTGAGTGACGTCATTGAGAGTCACTCTCTTGTCACTGTCATCCTTTATTTAACCACGTGAGTGACGTCATTGAGAGTCACTCTCTTGTCGCCGACATCCTTTATTTAACCACGTGAGTGACGTCATTGAGAGTCACTCTCTTGTCACTGACATCCTTTATACTGGTAGGAACGAAGTTGTGAACTGAGTGTACCAGCCTGCAATAGATTAATGTGTCCGTCCGTCCGTCCTCTTTCAATAGTTTAACGAAGTGAAATCTCGTGACTGTCATACTTTATTTAACCACGTGAGTGACGTCATTGAGAGTCACTCGCTTGTCACGGACATCCTTTATTTAACCACGTGAGTGACGTCATTGAGAGTCACTCTCTTGTCACTGTCATCCTTTATTTAACCACGTGAGTGACGTCATTGAGAGTCAATCTCGTGTGACTGCCATCCTTTATTTAACCACGTGAGTGACGTCATTGAGAGTCACTCTCTTGTGACTGTCATCCTTTATTTAACCGCGTGAGTGACGTCATCGAGAGTCACTCTCTTGCCACTGGCATCCTTTATTTAACCACGTGAGTGACGTCATTGAGAGTCACTCTCTTGTCACTGGCATCCTTTATTTAACCACGTGAGTGACGTCATTGAGAGTCACTCTTTTGTCACGGGCATCCTTTATTTAACCACGTGAGTGACGTCATTGAGAGTCACTCTCTTGTCACTGCCATCCTTTATTTCACCCCGTGAGTGACGTCATTGAGAGTCACTCTCTTGTCACTGACATCCTTTATTTAACCACGTGAGTGACGTCATTGAGAGTCACTCTCCTGTCACTGACATCCTTTATACTGGTAGGAAGGAAGTTGTGAACTGAGTGTACCAGCCTGCAATAGATTAATGTGTCCGTCCGTCCGTCCCCTTTCAATAGTTTAACGAAGTGAAATCTCGTGACTGTCATCCTTTATTTAACCACGTGAGTGACGTCATTGAGAGTCACTCGCTTGTCACGGACATCCTTTATTTAACCACGTGAGTGACGTCATTGAGAGTCACTCTCTTGTCACTGTCATCCTTTATTTAACCACGTGAGTGACGTCATTGAGAGTCACTCTCTTGTCACTGTCATCCTTTATTTAACCACGTGAGTGACGTCATTGAGAGTCACTCTCTTGTGACTGTCATCCTTTATTTAACCGCGTGAGTGACGTCATCGAGAGTCACTCTCTTGTCACTGACATACTTTATTTAACCACGTGAGTGACGTCATTGAGAGTCACTCTTTTGTCACGGACATCCTTTATTTAACCACGTGAGTGACGTCATTGAGAGTCACTCTCTTGCCACTGGCATCCTTTATTTAACCACGTGAGTGACGTCATTGAGAGTCACTCTCTTGTCACCGACATACTTTATTTAACCACGTGAGTGACGTCATTGAGAGTCACTCTTTTGTCACGGACATCCTTTATTTAACCACGTGAGTGACGTCATTGAGAGTCACTCTCTTGTCACTGCCATCCTTTATTTCACCCCGTGAGTGGCGTCATTGAGAGTCACTCTCTTGTCACTGACATCCTTTATTTAACCACGTGAGTGACGTCATTGAGAGTCACTCTCCTGTCACTGACATCCTTTATACTGGTAGGAAGGAAGTTGTGAACTGAGTGTACCAGCCTGCAATAGATTAATGTGTCCGTCCGTCCGTCCCCTTTCAATACTTTAACGAAGTGAAATCTCGTGTGACTGTCATCCTTTATTTAACCGTGTGAGTGACGTCATTGACAGTCACTCTCTTGTCACCGGCATCCTTTATTTAACCGCGTGAGTGACGTCATTGAGAGTCACTATCTTGTCACTGACATCCTTTATTTAACCACGTGAGTGACGTCATTGAGAGTCACTCTCTTGTCACTGACATCCTTTATACTGGTAGGAAGGAAGTTGTGAACTGAGTGTACCAGCCTGCAATAGATTAATGTGTCCGTCCGTCCGTCCCCTTTCAATACTTTAACGAAGTGAAATCTCGTGTGACTGCCATCCTTTATTTAACCACGTGAGTGACGTCTTTGAGAGTCACTCTCTTGTCACTGACATTCTTTATTTAACCACGTGAGTGACGTCATTGAGAGTCACTCTCTTGTGACTGTCATCCTTTATTTAACCGCGTGAGTGACGTCATTGAGAGTCGCTCTCTTGTCACTGACATCCTTTATTTAACCGCGTGAGTGACGTCATTGAGAGTCACTCTCTTGTCACCGACATCCTTTATTTAACCACGTGCGTGACGTCATTGAGAGTCACTCTCTTGTCACTGACATCCTTTATTTAACCACGTGAGTGACGTCATTGAGAGTCACTCTCTTGTCACTGGCATCCTTTATTTAACCACGTGAGTGACGTCATTGAGAGTCACTCTCTTGTCACTGTCATCCTTTATTTAACCACGTGAGTGACGTCATTGAGAGTCACTCTCTTGTCGCCGACATCCTTTATTTAACCACGTGAGTGACGTCATTGAGAGTCACTCTCTTGTCACTGACATCCTTTATACTGGTAGGGAGGAAGTTGTGAACTGAGTGTACCAGCCTGCAATAGATTAATGTGTCCGTCCGTCCGTCCCCTTTCAATACTTTAACGAAGTGAAATCTCGTGTGACTGCCATCCTTTATTTAACCACGTGAGTGACGTCTTTGAGAGTCACTCTCTTGTCACTGACATTCTTTATTTAACCACGTGAGTGACGTCATTGAGAGTCACTCTCTTGTGACTGTCATCCTTTATTTAACCGCGTGAGTGACGTCATTGAGAGTCGCTCTCTTGTCACTGACATCCTTTATTTAACCGCGTGAGTGACGTCATTGAGAGTCACTCTCTTGTCACCGACATCCTTTATTTAACCACGTGCGTGACGTCATTGAGAGTCACTCTCTTGTCACTGACATCCTTTATTTAACCACGTGAGTGACGTCATTGAGAGTCACTCTCTTGTCACTGGCATCCTTTATTTAACCACGTGAGTGACGTCATTGAGAGTCACTCTCTTGTCACTGTCATCCTTTATTTAACCACGTGAGTGACGTCATTGAGAGTCACTCTCTTGTCGCCGACATCCTTTATTTAACCACGTGAGTGACGTCATTGAGAGTCACTCTCTTGTCACTGACATCCTTTATACTGGTAGGAACGAA